AACTGAAGGCTCTGCCTCCCATTCTACTTTTAAATACTCTAGGAACAACAAGTAGGCCTGCAGAGCGAGAGCGAAGTGCTCTAATGAGGTGATGTGGTACTACAAGGTCATTACGATAAGATGTGACCTGATTATTTAAGACATTCACACAAACACAAACAATCTATTTTAACAAAGTCATATTTTAAATGCACATAAACTAGACTCATTTGGCTTTCACTGTTCCCTGACTCTACTAGAGCAACTTTACATGCAAAAAGTTTAAGGTTTTGGTGCAGCACTTTCTTACATTGTGCTTAGCAACAACCTTCAGCACTCGCCAACCGGATGACCGGGGGTTGCCAGGTGTTCACCGGCTGCTCTGTAGACCTGTGGGACTGATGCGTACCATTTAACCAACCACATTAAGATGAAATTTTACAACATGAATGTTTATCTCCTGTTTTCAAAGCCTGCTTATAGAGTCTGTGCTTTGCTTGTAATGTGGTCAAAGTTGTCTTGCCAACTCGCGAATCAAATTTGACTCTATTCACGTTAAATTTTTTAAACTTGTGTTTTAAATATAAGTTCTGTAAGAGCACTGCAGTGCACAGTGTGCAGCTGTATTTTGGGCGATTTGTGACTCTTTCCTGCACTGAAGAACCAGATCACACACCGGTCTCCGATAAAACCGATAGGTTAATGTGTTTTCTGACCATCTGAATTTTAAAAGTGTTTGTCTCTGCTATTTCCTGGCATAAACTTAATATTTCTGGCACAATATTGGATGCAAATCACAGAATCCTGCTTTGAAATGGAAATATCCCTCATGTCATTTGCATATTCAGTTCTTCGAGGCATTCTGGTCAGTTTGCATTGGCTGCAGTTGCATACTGAACACCCTTTTGCTGTAAATATCTAAACAAACTGCTCAATTGTATGTATGAATTCTGCACATCATGTTAGCCTATGGCTTAGTTTGTATTACTAATGCTGAAGTCAAGTCTCAACCAATATCACTGCATTAAAAAAAGATTAGAAGAGATTAGAGGAGCTGCTCACCCAGAGATACAGTTTAATTTGTCTAATATGCTCTGTGTACAGTATTTAGAGTTTGTATCTCTGTGAGTGTGAAACAAAATAACATCTTTCCTCGTACCATCAGGTGTGCGTGTGATGTTTAATTTTTTCCCCCGCACGCAGCCATCTCGCCATATAGATAAATACCAGGTGCTTGTTATCAAGCTGCAGGTGTCAGAAATAAAGTGGCAGGTGTTGGACACACACAGCAACTCCTGTTCAAGGTTGAGCCCCATATTGGCACAGAATACACGGAGACAGCAGCCTGCAGAGGGTTAGCGCGTGTAAACGCTCAGACTCGATGTTTGGAACAAGAAGAAAATATACATAAAGGTTGAATTCATCGTGTTACCGTATCCTCTGTATGTCCTCCTTGAATCCTGTGAAGCTGTTTTTATGTAACTGCATGCAGACTCAGATGATTCTGGGAAAATGAGTCTGTTTCACCTTAGCTCGCACAGATCTGTGTTTTCCCATTATTTGGGGTTATTTTAATAAATGCAGATCTAGAAAGTGAACCCTGGGCTTTGCATATTTAATCACAAATATTACACTTTCATGTTAAATGAGTGCAAAGTGCTGTTTGTTGATACCAGACTGTCAAGCAGTAATTGTTGCAGTGATTGTGCTCCAGCAGCATCAACACTTTATTCATTTGAAATTCACATCTGTGATCGGTATTTTCTGTAATGCAATTTGGCTGGATGTAGAAATAAAAATAACATACGTATGTGAAGATAATGTCCTAATTGAGAGCGTGTCTGTCTCCTGCACAGGATGGGATGGGAAACCTCAGAATAACAGAGAAGGGCCTGAAACTGGAGGGGGACTCTGAGTTCCTCCAACCCCTCTATGCCAAAGAAATCCAGTCCAAACCAGTAAGTGACTCGCATGAATGCACACCTTACATGGTACATACTGTACTGCACACATCCATCCTGCAATTTGACCCTTTTTTAAACATGGATTAGGCTACGGAACATTTGTGCCTTCAGTAAGCTGTTAAACTGGAAGCTTTGTCATTCAGACATGGGTGACTTTGCTATTAATGGTCCTTACAGCTACATTCATGCACACCATTTAAGAAAGAGCCATGAAAAAAGCAGTGGTATGAGCACAATATTTATCTTCTAACATGGGAGTCTACACAGTAAAGCAAGTGAGTACATCCTTGCTGTGACTGACGATGACAAGTGGTGCAGGAATTTTCCAAACCATTCCTTTAGGACAAGAAGCAATAATGATGAAAACACTGCAGTACACCTAGAACTGTAACATGGAAAGTTGTGCATGAAGTATTAGCAAAAAATGTTCTTTTTCAGAAAAATGTTCCCCATCAGCATTAAATACATTAATATTACTGTTGCATATGTTTAAGCTTGAGCTCATTTTATATACTTAATTCTGTTTAATATTCTGAAAATCCTCCTCTACCTTCTCTACATCACACACTTTTAAAAAGGTGGCTAGCAAAACTAAACCCATCTGTTATGATGCTAAATCACTGAAGCTTGTTTAGCTAATCATTCTAGCTGTTTCGACACAAAGCACAGCAGATCTCAGAGTAGTGAAAGCTCAGCCAGCAGCAGCTGGCTTCCCATCAGTTTACCATAGAGGTTTGTCCACAGTGCACATGCACAAACCACCACTCGTAAAACGGAGACAGCTACAGTTTCCTATAAGTACAAAACAAGTGATGCAACAAGCTACAGTAGCCGACTGCAGCCAGTAAAGGATGGACGCAAACTGGTGAGGACATTTATGGCGTTACTGTCTAAGATGGAAGGAGATTGTTTTACCTTGACAACTATTACGTTGTGTCTATTTTTAGATTTGACAAGGCAAGAACAGTTTGCCTTGCTTGTCCTGTTAGAGCACCATTGCTTTATATTCTTCCATTATGGCAAAATACTGTGAGTTACTGTATTTAGGTCTTGTGTTATCACCTTCAGTGTGACTTTGGCTCATTTTGTTATCCAAACCATCCAAAACAGTCAAACCTGGCCCTACAAATTCCCGTAGCACAGGGAGTCAGCGTATCCCACAGCAATGTGTGAAATGTGGTTAAATCACCATTTGAAATACTTTAAAATCAGCAGCAGCAGCTCATCGATACATTAGCACTTAGTCTTTTTTATCACTCATCACATGAACTAAAAACTGCTTTGCAAATTACCTTCTAGCAAAAATACAGTTTGTCTCATACTTTTTAGTGCGCTGTGAAACACTTGTTGACTGATAATACTCGAAATGAGGTGAGATTGAGAAGGTGTGAAGTGTCTAATGATTGTAGGTGTGGTAGTGGGAATTTGAGCTTCCTACAGTGAGAATTAAGCATGTGAGACAATCCAGTTGGGACTCCGAGTGCTATCAACTCAGCTACACGTACGACAAGCTGATTTCAGCAAATGTCTGAACCTAAAAAGAAATCCAAAACTATGTTAAAACAGGTTATGTTGAAGCAGGCGCGTGTTCTCAGAAGAGTAACTGATGATCTGACTTCCTTTTCCTTCCACATGTATTTGGGTCAGGTTATAATGCCAGCAGGCTAAAGCTCAGTAAATCTACTATTCTCATTCACGCCTCCTCTGGAATCCTGAAGCATTCTCAAGTCCCATAAGATATGGCTGTCAGCCACTGCATATCCTCTGAGTCTGACGTGTCCAAAACCTCGACATGAAGAGAATTCCTTTGAGCTTAATGAACAGAGCTCGTGGTTTGACCTTCTCTCTAACGCCTAAGTCTGTGTCTCACTGCCATATTTGAGGCCCCAGGTAACGAATATCATACTAATATAAATATATTTTATGGATATTAGCAATTTAACAGTTTATAACATATATAAGGGAAATCTTGTGTTTAGTAATAACACAAGACAAAGTCTGTGTGCCTCTAAGTTGGGATCAGGCCAGGTTACCATCAACTCATGGTTTGTGCTGCTAGGTCACAATTGGATTTTAATTCTCACTGATTTTTTTTTTCTAACAATAAAACTGAACCACATGTGTTATAACAAACCAAAAAGTCAAGCTGTCATCCTGTTAAATCGTGTTATATTGTAAAATAAAACAATATTAGATTAGAATGAATGTTTCATGGCATCAGAGGGCTTCAGCAACAACAGGATCCAGTTTTATTTCCATTCATCCGTTTTCTTCTGCTAATCCAATTCAGGGTCATCAGACAGTTGGTGCCTACCCCAGCCTCCTACACTGTGGACAGGTTTCAAGGGAGACAGAAAACCATTCAAGCTCACATGTGGCCAATTTGGAATCACCAGTTAAACTAAAATGTTTGTCTTTGCACATGCTCAGTGGCTCCTGTGGCTTCCACCCACAGTCCAAACGTCACACAGAATGCAATACATACATTCTTACCTTAAACTCATCCCCTTCATGCTCTTTGAATTCGATAACTTAATTAATAGTGATGCAGATAGATAAATACTTACTTGTAGCACGTCACTACACACACACGTTGGGGTGGGTTTTTCTCTTCGTAGCTCAGAGGTTTGGTGTTTAATATATTTATTTTTTTCCACAATGAAATACAAAAATACAAAGCATCAAATAAAAGTAAAAGAGGAGAGAAAATTTAAAATAAAAACCCACCCTAACAAACAACACCCCTGTTCGCTGTCAAGTAATCAAAAGTTTAAAAGGAAAAACTTTCAATTAGTGCAAAATAACACCAGCCAAGGTGTAAAGAATAAGAAGGAAGAAAAAATAAGCAAACAAATGTAATTAAAAATAAATAAATAAATAAAGGTCATTCCTGAACCTGTGTAGATGGTTGGTCAAAAAATATCAAAAAGGGTTTCCAGACTTTATTACATTTATTTACAGAGCCTCTCAAAACGAACCTAATTTTCTCTAATTTAAGATGAAATAAAACATCCTTAACCCAATGCGAAACTGTGGGCGGGGCTGCGTCCTTCCACTTCAAAAGTATTAGACGTCTTGCCAATAGTGTAGAGAAGGCAGTATGTCTGAGAGTGACACTCTCATTCCAAATATGCATGACGAAGCCTCACAGACATCCGTCCAGAACAAGACCAAAACACATGGATCAAGGTGGCCTCTGCCAATTTACATCTTTCGCACGTTGGGTCAATCTGGGGATACATCTTTGCCAATTTCGATTTGCTGAGATGAACCCTGTGCACTATTTTAAACTGTAGAAGGCAATGTCTTGCACACATGTCGGACTAGTGAATATTACTTAAAACATTGCCCCAGTCTGCTTCAGCAATACAGATTCTAAAATCCTCTTCCCAGGATCGCTTAATTGCAGACATAGAAGAAGAACCCAGGCGCAAAATCAGAACAAGTATTGATGGTATGGCCTTTTTCTTAGCCGGGTTACAACACATAATGTCATCCATTACATCATTAGGGGGTCTATTTGGGAACCCTGGGATAGAGCCTGAAAGAAAGTGTCGTATTTGTAGATACCTAAAAAAAATGAGAGGGGGGTAAGTTGTATTTATTAGTCAGCTGTTCAAATGAGGCAAACGTGCCGTCAATGAGTAGTTCTTTTAAAGATCTCAGCCCTCGCCTCTGCCAGCCCTGAAATGTGGCATCAGACATTGAAGGGGGAAAAAACATAGTTGGAAGCTACTGGGCTGCCTAAGCAGATCTTCAGAAGATCAAAATGTTTTCTAAGAGCCTCCCAGACCAACAAGATGGAAATATCTGGAGTTAAATTAAATTCCAAAAAGTAGGTAATTTGATCCGAAATAAATTCTATAAAGTTTTCATCACTTAACAAAAGAGAGTTAAATCTCCACATCCGTTTAGGAGACTCCATACCGGGTATATGCAGTGTCGATATTAAGGGCGCATGGTCAGATATTACAATAGGCTGATAATCACATGACTTAACAAGAGAGGTTAGTTTGTTATCAGTAACAAAATAGTCAATTCTACTGTAGGTTTGAGCATTTGAAAAAAAGGAATATTGTCTGTCTTGTGGGTGTAAAAAACGCCAAATGTCCGAGATGCCGTAGGTTGAAAAAAAGGACTGTAAATAAGAAGCTGACTTTGTTGTCGAGTATCCAGTTCTTACAGACGATCTATCCATCAGGGTCCAAGCACAAATTAAAGTCACCACCCATAATAAGTAAATGGGTATTCAAACGAGGCAGGAGGCCGAGGACGCTAATATAAATATATATTTGCTAATGTAACATTAATATTAAAAATTGATCCGGTTACTATAACGTATCGTCCATTTAAATCAGCCAGAGAGAAGAAGGGGTAAAAGGAACCCTTTTATTTACCAATATTGCTACAAGCTCAGAGGTTTGGAAGCAAAACGTTCCAGTGTTCATTTCCACTTTTCAGACATAATTTTGGGAGATATTTGCAGACAGCAACATGAAGATGAGAAACACTTGAAGTGTTGTAAAGGCCGTCACTGCTTGGTTGTGTTGTTTGGCCGTTTTTTTCCATACTGCATCACATTTGGCCGCGGTGAAGTCACCCAAGACTTCAAACCTTAACAAAATCCAACTGGGTGAGGTATATTAAAAAAGGCATTACCCTCCCCGTGCAGTTGCTATGATACAGGAAAGGGTAAAATAATTTTTAGTGGCAGGCTGGAAACTGGGTTTTTTTCATGGCTGGAGGAGCTGGTCCTTTTAACATAGAGGTCTATGAGGATTGAACTGGCCATTAGAGGAAATGCAGTTTTTGGCTTCGTTTTCAGCCTCAGGGAGGTTGTTGCCTGATCACGGTGAGCACGGTGTGGCTGTACTAGTGCAAATGTTTCAGACTTGCTGAGGAAACAAACAGGAGCAGCAAACACGTCAGTATTATCAGCACGTTTTCTCCCCACCTTCTGCACTCAGCTACAGTTTCAGTGTTCCTGCAGTAGG